GCTTACAATTAGAGGACTCCTTTCCACTGTACTTGGATAATTTTGTAACTACACAATTGCGACTCGTTATATTACTTCATAACCTTTCATAGTAAATTATCATTATTAAATCCTCGTCCATTATGGAACCATTTTAACAATATAAGTAAAGTAACATGTACTAAACTCACACGGCGAGTTTATAATATAGAAAATATACGAAAAAGGGAAAAAAAAAAGAGCATAAATAATTCATTAAGAAAGAAATGTATGGAATATATTATATTAAAAAGTCATGAAATAATAAGAGGAAGGGAATATCTCTGATTTTTTTAAAGAAAGGTCAAAATGATAATATTTGCAAGTTTATTTTTGTTTACTTGAAATGTTTTGGTATGATTTCTGTTAAATCGTTTTTATTCTTTTTATTCCAAAAAAACCGAGTTTCCATGTTTTAGAGAACATTATTACAAACTTATTAGAACCAAACATGGCATATTTGTTATGTTTGGACCTTTTTGAGAGGACATCTCACAAAATTAAATTCATGTTTAATGTTTCACGAACGCATTATACTTTAACCTTTTCAAGTCAATCATGACATGTGAGCGAAAAATATTATTTATAAATGTTTCATTTTGACGCTAAAGTGATTTTGTCTAATCATACTTCTGAATCTTGTTAAAAAATAATAAAAGTTCATAAAACATCCACTTAAAAGAACTAAAATAAAATAAAACAGAATGATTTCACCTACTCGAAAAGTAAAAGGAGATGTTACCCACTTCAGTTTTTACAGCAGTTGCATTTTTCTATATATTAAAAAAAGGAGAGAATTTGGCAAAATAAAATTAAATTAAAGAATGAGAACAAAGCTCGTGGGACTAAACCTCTAGGATTTTGCAACCCACAATTATCCGATAAAATTTCACCATAGCATATAATAGTAAATTCGTATTTATTTTTTGGATAGTCATATTTGTTCTACTTGTTAATATTGTAAACATGATCTCCTTTATCATGACCAAAAAGATAGTTGAGAAAATATTTCGCTTGGGAACAAGTAATTTTGAGATTATATAATAATAAGAGTATAATACAGAGATTAAATAGTGATAAGATTATTTAACGGATATATTTTTATTGAAAGATGCTTGATTTACTGGATCAAAAAATAGATGTAGGGTTATAATATAAAATACTATCTTTTATGTAAACTAGATAAGTGGGGCTAAACTTTTACTTCCAATTTTAATCTTGAATTTCTTAAAAGACTTTGGAGGAAGAGTTTTGAAAAAGGGCATCTTATCGTTGTAGTATTTTATTCTAGACTTAAGTAATCACTGGATTATTATTTCACATTCAACGTGGAATGAAATAATACCACAATTGTAATATAAATTAGTCCCGAGATTACTAATTTCGGATTCAAAATTCAACTAATAAGATATAAAATAATCTTATATTTGATCATGAGATTATTATCCCTTATCCCACTGACCAAACACGACCACTTAATGTCTTCCTCAGTATCTCGAGGAATCTAGGCACACGGACCTTTTTTTAAGTCTTTTCATGTACACCTTTATTCCAAAGATACTGATGATATTCACAGCAGTTTTTAAGTTACTAGTGTTTATCCGTAAAATGGTACAGTTGAATTTGTTATGTGATTTATAAACAAGTGAACTGATTTGATCCCAAAATGATAAATAAATTAAATGAAAAGTAAGACTTAGCGTTGAAATGAATGAAATAGCAAGACTGGTTTCGAGAGCAAGGCTTCCGAAGACAGCGATAAGACAGTATTAGACAAAAAATAAGATTATATTATTCAACTTAATAGTAAAATGTAGCATAAGTTTTGCCAGAGATTTCATATGTTACAATGGTTCTTCAAGTCCCCTTTTATAGCTATACCTAAGGAACAAGATCCTAAGATCAAGTATCTCTTAAATGACAATAATGGACGTCATTGATAAATATGTATCGGCAGGCCATGAATGTCAAAATTCTCTACTACGTATTTAATACTAAGTAATATACTTCATTAAATGTCATATGATGACAAACATTCATTTGCCTCCGTTGACTGCGTTCTCTTCGGGATCTACCCGATACCAATAGAAGTTGTTGTCCTCGGCCTTGGTTCCTACTCGCTTCATCTTCCATCTGCCTCCAGTTCCACGTGTCATGCCATCGTTCGAGCATTTAATATAAACCAATTTTACCCTATATTGATAGTCCCCCTGATTTCCAGTGGCATATCTTTGTATCATCGGGAAGTTGGTAAAGATTCCTTTCTTGTCGAAAAATTTTCTGAACCCTTCTGAAAAGTTTCTGACGCTTGATTAGACGCATGTCTCCTCGCATTTAATACCCCGAACACATATTATCCCACGATTTAGCAATATTTTTGTCGGTTCTCGAGATAATTATGACCACGATTTTAGCCGCCTATACCTTTACTTATATGCATCACTCTTCTTCTTTCACTTCTAACAACTTCATAAGCTTCCTTAAGTTTTTGCATATAATCTCCTTCTACTTTCATATCTTTTTTATCTTCTTCAAAAAAACTCTTATCATTGTCTTATCATTATGGCTTCTTATACTAATTCTTCCAAACTCTGGTCTTCTATTCGATGGAGGTCCGAAGAGGAGCAAAGATAAAGAGGTTGATGTTGATGTTGATCCTCTCACGGTGAGCACCATCATCCATAAACATCTAAACACTGCTAAAGATTTTGAAGAGAAATTCCCTACTTCAAACCCTCGAACTTGGGCTGTTGGTAGATACCCTTCCTCTATCCCCCTTCCAGTATTACTGTTGTGAAGGAAGATTGTGATTGTCATGCCCTAAATATCATTGCCCCTGACCTGATGGAGCGAGTGACCTTCACTAAGAAGAGTTTTACGTATGTTTACACGTATCTCTTCACTTTGGGTCCATTTTTCTTTGATCGGGGGACTTGACCCCGTAATTTTGGAATTGTGCTACCGGTACCAAGTCTGTTTGTCTTAGGTGGGCCTTTCAGTATGGCGAACGGTGGCCTGTCTGTGGCGGTTGTGCCTGGAAACGAAGGAGCCCCTTACCTTGTCATATATGATGAACCTTTACTCCCCCAAAATCTTCCGCTGGGGAGTAATAAATTTCAGCAAGTGTGGCCACCATGCTTTGCTTACCAGCATGGATGATGACAATGACCGTGGATGGATGGAGCGGTTTGTCATCATTGCTACCAGGGATATCATCCCGGCCACGACTCCATATTTCCCCGAATCCTGGAATCGTTCATGTAAGTTCAGAATTTACCTCTTTTTTTCGAAAAAAGGTTGTTCCATGTCATTGCTAACCCTTTTTCTTTCGTTATTTCAGCTACTCGGTGGACAACACCAAGGGTTGAAGGCCTGGACCGATGGGTTCAGAAGACTCTGGACATCACCACGCCAAAGACCCGTTGGTGAAAGGAGTTAGCCCCCAAATACGGGTGGAGGGCCAAGAACCACGGTAAACTGATTCCTCATTCATTCCACCTTTGTACGTGAGAAAACATGTTAACTATACCTTTTTATTTGATTCAGCTCTCCCGCACAATTCTGTTTCCTCCCCTGAGGAGGATGTTTTGGTCAATCCCACAGAGGCTACGAGGTTGTTGCAAGAGGCTCTTACCTAGACCGGTGACCTCGGGTTTGCTTCCGGTGCATGTGGTTCTTCTCGGACTCCTCGACTAGAGAACAAGCAAACAAAAATGCGATTTTCTTCCTCAGTCGGGGGTAATAATAAGAAAGTAAAGAAAGCCACGCCCAAGCCAGACGCAGCCACTGTGGTTATTGACGATGATGGAAAAGCCAGTGATGAAGAGGCTTCCCTCCAAAGTAGACAACGATCTTTATCAGCTCAATAGAATGCTCAATCTGGAGAGCTTAGAACCCCAACCGAGGGCGATGTCCGAGCGCTCTAGGGAGAATTTGACTTAGTAGACAATGTTGATTCTCTCTTTTCAGTCCCAATTGCTACTTCCGGTACTATGAGGTCGAGTATCGGGCCTCTACTGCCTTCGGTTGGTGAGCAACTAACAAACAACACTGCCTCTGCCGCAACTGCTTCTCAACCTACAACACCATCATCCTCGTCTTCATCTACACCAACTGTGCCTTCATCACTAACAACTGCTATATCTCCCCCACCGGCCAAGACGCCGAGAGGAGGATGTCCCTCCTCCCTAGTCCCCTGACCACGTGAATTTGGGGAACAACTATTCACCCCATTCTGCAGATCCCCAAGGGAGGAGTGTCTCTCTCTCTCGATGTCAAAGCAGTGACACCTGCCGTCCAGGACAGTGGAGCTCGCCAATTATCTAAAGTCGCTGGCTTCAGAGAAAGATAAGAAGAAAATACACTCTCTTCCAGGGGAGTGTATGTTAAATAACTCCATGCACGATGCAACAATGTTATTGTACATGTTTTTATACTGCTTGTTTCTATTCGCACTACAAGAAAATGGAGTTATTACGGTGGTTATTTTAACATATAATGGCAGTTTCGAACCGCCGTAATACACATTAACGGCGGCTTTTAAAAGCGTCACAATCCCGCCCGCCAAAATTATATTATGGCGGTTCTAGTCAAACCGCCGTAATTACATTTGAAAACCGTCGTATTTTAATCGTTTTAATGCGGCTTTTTTTTTGTTGCATATTGTGGCGGTTTCAAACCGCCGTAATTTTAATTTTTACTGCTACTATAACCGCAGTCTGTTCACAATCCTATTTTTTCACATTTACAATCCTATCTATTGAATGCTATGCTTTTAAACTTCTATAGCACTTCATAATCATTTAAACCCAATATAAAAGATTAAATAAGAAAAATATTCATTATATAAAACACAAGTATACCAAAATTACATCATCCAAATATTAATGCTTCAAAGTGTATTTCAACAGTAATATCCAAAAGATTCATAGTTGATCCAACAAAATAATCACAAATTCACACTTGNATTCATAGTTGATCCTACAAAATAATCACTAATTCACACTTGGACGAACATCATTGTTACTTTCATTTAAAGATCTTTTTTGTTCAATTGTTGATGGTGCACCACTTCCTAAATCTGGTGCCTGAAAAAAAAAATACAGTCAATAAGCAAATAACTAAAATTTTAACCGGTGAGCTGAAGTAGTGAGAACTTCCTAAGTGTTGAAAGAGTTCTGCAGCTATACACGTGGAAATTACATGTACCGGTAATTTTCATGCTCTTGAGTCTTCAAGACTTGATCAAGCTGATCAAGTCCTAAAATTCCAGCATTGTGCACTCATGACTCACTCCACAACATTAATTTCAATTCCTCGAACATTCATCATCCATCATTTATTACTTACACATGAAACAAATTACCAGGAAGATAAGCCAAAACTTCACGCAGTTTGTATACATAAAAAAGCACAAAGCATCAGAAATTCTTCAAAGACAACAAAATCACATACCAGAGCATACTTATTCTGCCAATTGCATTCACATAATGGAGAGTTTTAACCTATGCCAACAAGCAAATTCTACTAAAAACAGGCATCATCAATTAAACTACCATGATTTCACATATTTCAACGCATTCTATCATGTAACTAGGACTGGATATACAGAAATCACATTGAAATCAATGAGTTTAATCACCCAAAAATATAACTACACAGCCTAGGAAACCACTTTATGTTATAAAAAAAACCATAAGAAAAGCAAATAACTAAAATTTTAATGTAGCAAGAGAACTTATACATGTGGAGGAGTGGAAAATAAGTGAGCAAACTCCTCGGGGATATTCCCTATGTTCCTTTCATATAAGCTAATTAGTGCATTTAATTTAGATTCCACATCTGTCATCTCTTGCTGCCACTCCGGAGTTAGAGCGGTAGTGCTAGATGAACCCACATAACCACGACGGTATCTCGCAGATGTCTGTTTGAATGCTACAGTTGAAATTACACCCAAGCCTAAACCTCGAACACGATCAGGGTGCTCGGGACCGAATACTATGCCAAGTGCATCATTTGGTGAAGGTTCATCAAAACTTTCTGCTCTTTCACTTCGAATTTCTTCAATTCTTTCCTACAAAATTTGAAGAAGCATAAATTAAGCAATAGATCAAATGACTGGTACATCGAAAAAACATCTTTATCATCCCAAGGCCGGGCTCCAAACTCCTTGTAAAAGTACAGAAGAAAAGCTAACAGCAGGAAGTTGGTCAAAGATTGATCCGCTGAACTTTAAGCTCCATAACGATAGTTTATTTCGGGTACACTTGAGTGAAATCTTCTCCTTTCCAATTAATAAGTGTGATATAATATGTATTGGATTATTCACTATTCATACATTTCTTTGATTTTGTCACATGAACTGCAGAGACAAGAAAATATCACCAGCTCCAAATGTATCTTCTTATACTCCTATTGGTGTTGATTTATTTGTGTCCTAAAAAGATCAACCACATTGAATTCAACCTTCTTTTGAACTTGTTTATGTTCAAATTCCTCTACTTTTCCTTATTTTAATGTATATAAGCTCTATTAACAGAGATTAGTTGAGGATGATATGGAAAAAAGTTAAAGGATTTGCAAGAGAACATTAATTTAAGCAGTTTCCTCAGCTTCTTTCGCTATTACAAAATGCAAGAATCCAAATGAAGCAACTACCTAATGTCTAAATGACACAAGATTTTTGCGTTCAGTAATATCAACTCATAAACTTCTAGACGGTAATAAAGATTTACAGACAAAATATATATAAGAGCGGTTGCTCTAAAAATAGCTGTGGAAACTTCATTCTATATTGAAATAGATGTGGAAACCCACTAGACAAGCAGTATCAATCTGAAAATAAAATATAATTTCACAGCAGAAGGCACCAAAAATGTTACTTACCCCAATCACCCTAGCCTCATCCGTTACATAACTCCCATCTTTCCTTTTATGAGTCTCAGTCCACATTTTGGGGTTAATTTCATTGATGAACTATCTTTCAATTTCACTAAAGTCATATAATTATTTTTTGTCATTTAAAAGTAACTAAACTTTATCATTGTCGCTTAAAAGTCATTTTGCCTCAAACCCCTACCATAAATATGACATGGCATTAAATTTTATGATAAAAATCCAAAAATAAATGTCACATAAGCTAATATGGGTCATACCCATTTTAGATCCATTTATCCTTTAATGTGATTTGATCCATAATCCAAATGGGTTTCAATAAAATAAAATATTAATTCAACATTAGTTTAAAATGATTATCCTATACTACAAAGTTTTACCTTTTCTGTCACAGCACATTCATAATTATTCTATACTAAAATAATCTATACTAAAAAAAATTTATCTTGTTTGTATGCCCCATCTGAGTCATTTTATAACTCTACTGAAGTTAAAATACTATTGTATACAATAGTATTTTAAAATAACTCGGATGGGGCATACAAATAAAATAAGAATTTGCTAGCATAGATTATTTTAGTATAGAATAATTATGAATGTGCTGTGACAGAAAAGGCAAAATTTTATAGTATAGGATAATCATTTTAAACTAATGTGGAATTAATATTTTTTTTTTATCGAAACTCATTTGGATTATGGATCAAATCACATTAAAGGATAAATGGATCTAAAATGGGTATGACCCATATTAGCTTATGTGGCATTTATTTTTATATTTTTATCATAAAATTTAATGTCATGTCATATTTATGGTAGGGGTTTGAGGCAAAATGACTTTTAAGTGACAATGATAAAGTTTAGTTACTTTTAAGTGACAAAAAATAGTTATATGACTTTAGTGAAATTGAAAGATAGTTCAATGACCATCAATGAAATAAACCCTCACATTTTGCCTCGATCAAAAGCTTTTCCCATCACCTTCTAAAATTTTTAAAATGAATAATGTTAGTAATTAATTAAGAATATATATCTTATCTAAGTTAATCGCTTAAACTACCATTGCAACCCTTTTTCTAGCCAAACTCATAGCACCACAAGTATGAGGAAGTTGGTTTTTTCGAATATGTGCATTCTTCTTGCAACGCTCCTACAAATTAAATAGGTAAAATTCTATTACATAAGACCAAAATAAGCAGAACAGAAGCTACTATGATATAAATATAAATTTAAGTTCAGTGATTGAATTTATCCATCGTCAAGACAATACATATAGAACTTCTTCTGAGAACTTTAAACTCATGAATTACATCATGTTATATGTTATTGTGAAGATAATCAAACACAGGTTTGTCTTTTTTCCTGATCCATCAACAAAAGTTTTAGCAACAAGAAAAATAACTTCTCTAATCTCTAGTCTAATTTTTGCTAGATTTACCTCACTAGCCAATTGAGCGTAACTTTAGACCAATAAAAGAAAGATGAGTAACATGTTCACATTGCCAATGTCTCTGTTTCTAGGCAAGTTTAGTTTTGGGTATTCAATCTAAGGTTAGAATCTTTCAGAGTAGAGAAACAGTAGCAGAAGCAGCAGCATAAGCAATAGCAGAAGAAAGTACCTTTGTCTCCTCTTTCAAGCGATAAGTAACATACAGTGCCCGTTGGTCCATCGGTATGCCATTCGGAGCGTTCTTGATGATATCTTCTTTACTTATTAATAGATCTTCAGCCTCCTTCCATAGTTTAAGCATGTACTCCTTCCAATTTTTGTTAAGGGAACTGTTAAGCCATGCCTTTGCCTTTTGTTGATCAATCCTAAAAAAAAAACGAGGCTTCACAAATATAAAGTAAGTTAATTTACTACAGTTTTACATATACAACTAAAAGATACAAACTAAACAAAAGAATTTAGATGGCATTACCACTATTATATCATTAAAAACACGGTCCACAAAATATTTGGGCATAGATGACCATTTCTCAAAGCCAATAGGAAAGTACATAGGATTTGTTGCAAGTTGCCCTAAAACTCCAGCAATTAGGCCAACCGATTTCCCAATTGCTGCATGATATTCATCAAATTCTACAATTATACGCAACCCTTTATCCAAGTTATGGACATCCTTAACCTTCAATCTAATTGTTTTTATTACTTGACATTCATCTACAATAAAATAAAGTCAAGTTAAAACATTAAACGAGGAAAACAAATAGAATACTCAATCACTTGAAATTTATATGTACCTATAACATCGATAAACCAATGAGGTTTTTCATTGCTAGTACTACGTCTAGTTTGTCGTGAAGAGACTGCACCAGATGATGAAGATGGAACGGCGGGCTGAGAAAATACCCCATCAGATGATGAAAGTGATACAACATGCTGCGAAGAGACTCCATCAGATGATGAAGATGGAACAACGTGCTGCGAAGAGACTCTATCAACTGAAATAACAGGTTGTGTAGGTTGTGTAGGCAGTGTAGAATGTAAAGAGACTCGATAAGATGTTGAAGATGAAGCTTGAGCCTGTGATGACTGCCTTGGAACAAGTGAAGATCTCTCTTTGACTGATTTGAATTGATCTTTAACCCTATTTTGCTTCGGCATCTCTACATACGTAAAGGTATATAAAGCAAAACAAGAAAACCTTGATACCAAACCAGTTTAAACTTCAAGACAAAATAACTTAAAGCTTAATTAATGAAAGAAAGTAACTAGATGCAAGGACATAAAATATATTAAGATGCTTCCTTCTAAAATGTGAAAAGGGCTAGCAATGACTCTTCAAATATGTTCATCTTTGCCAATCTCATTTTCAATATCGCGATCAAATAATATTTCATTAGTTTCATCCTCCCTACACAAAAGCAGATCATTAACATCCCCAAAGTGTTAATCTAAGTCTTGCACTGGGAATGGCTCATTCTCAGGAAATTTATTATCTCCTTCTCCTCCCATATCATATAAGTCTCTTGAATGACATATCTTTCTACCTATACAATTGGTAGTCGTTTGATAAATAAGTTGAACCTATTATAGCAGAAAGATCTGCTAATCTGTTAGTGACAAAAGAAATAATCAATCTACCTTGTAATAAAAATAAATCTGCTTAAAAGAAAGGACAAAATTAAACTGAAATGAGCTATACCTATCAAATGTTTTACTGTCGACCTCGATCCCAATCGCTTCACTAGCAGTTTTTGATCTCTCGGCTACCTATCAAGCCCATATATAATATTTAGGTTAATATTAGCAAGAACAACAACTTAAAATATCAAAATTAAGTGCATGCAATCGAAATACCAAACAAAGCAGCAAAAATTTTAAGAAATACCAAACTAATTGAATAGAAAAATAAAAAAAATGGACTCAAAAATAAAAGAAAGAAGTACTGAAACCATTAGAACATTAATATTTTCTAATAATAGCAATTGTCATTCTATTTTCCTTTTTCTAGTAATAGATTACTATTTTGGATGTTATATATTTAATTGACTGAATGAATCATAGATTATCGGACTGAGGAACAAAAAAATAGAACAGAATTGGGGACATGAACCCTAATAAAGAGAAAAGAACTTTTGGTACTAAATATGAGTCATTACCTAAAGATTATTGAAGCTGCTAAATGAATTTCTGATTTGAATCTCGATTCGTCTAGCCAGAGAAACATATTGGAAGAAATAGAAGAATCTGAAGTTAGAAAATTGGGAGTTTGTTACCTATTGAGGGAAATAGAATGAATCGGGGGAAGGAATTGGGGGAAATAGAAATTGGGGGAAAGAGATACGAGACTTATGGAGGGAAGGAATTGGGGGAATTCTGGAGGGAGTATCAAATTGTGAGGGGGAAATACTAAAACTTATTGAGAGAATAGTTAAAATATTGTGATTAAAATATTACGGCGTTTCTAACCACCGCAATACGAATTAACTGCCGCTATAAAAATAATTTATTCCAGCAGTTGGTAAAACGCCATTTTTAATTAGATTTTTTGGCAGTTATTTGGAACTGCCGTAATATAACCGCCACAATAATTTCGATTTTTTGTACTGTGATTGCCTGTTACAACAGGGTTTGTGACTTTAATATTTGTTTTACATGCCAACTTTCTTGCTTTCGACGGCCTTCAGAGATTGATCCTTGACAAAAAAGGACTTATGTGAGAGCGGGATCAACTGTTGGCCGAGAGAAACCAATTCACTGCGCGCCTCCCGGTATTAGAAGCGAATGCTGCTGAAGCGGCCGAGCTGAAGCCACTCGGCTACATGCATAACTTTAGGATGCAAAGGCTAAGTGTGTTGAATCTTAAGATGTTGCTCTTGTTGTACCGAGCGCGAGTCTGCCTCCATTGAATGAGCAAATAATTTATAGGCAGATTTGAACTCCAGAGCTGAAGAAGTTATTGCCGAGGAGAAGCGGGCCTGGATAGAAGATAAGTATAAGAAGATTATGGATCAAAATAAGGTTCATATAACCACAAGTCGTGATCTCGATTGATTGAGACAAAACGATTCCCTCAATACAGCTCTTAGCCTTAGTACCATGAGATCCTGGCTCAGCCTGATACAACTGACGCTTCTAGTCCCAGTTCCGAGTTTTCGGGAACTGAGGAGGAGCGTGAAGAGAATAGTGATGAAGGCCAAGAGCCTGCGCCGGCAGCAGATCTGCCTACTTCTTTCGGGGGCGTACATGCCTCTCTTGCCCCGAGTTCTAGTGGACGTAGTTTAGCCTTTTTGCTTTCTTTTCTTTTGTTGTTTTCTTTTGTATCTTTATATTCATGCCGCTTGGCATGTTTGATAAATAAAAAGGACCTTTTGTTTAAGTATTGTGCAAAGTTCATTCCTTTTTGTGTCGAATTAAGTAAGGCTTCGTGTGTGTTTTCTTTCGATAGCTTTTGGGTTCAGGGAATAAACTCTTCTGGAACCAATCCTTTACTATGAGGGTTTCATAAGAGAGGGTCCTCTTATGTTTACAGTGCTTTTGAAGAGGATGTCTCATGTTCATTCTGGCATTAGCATTTGATGTTTTTAGTTAACTTTCAAATGATAAAATCAATTCATCGTTTGGACAAAAAATAAGATAAAAATAAAAGGAATTCATTTTGTTCCTTCTATCTTCAAAAGTACATAAGCATTCATTTGCTGAAAGAAAATAAATTGCCAATAAATGTGGTTAATTTGTACAACTTGTATCTACGGGGCTAGATGTGAAGCCCCTATTTCCGATGAGACATTATTGTTCCCGGGTCTTGAAATCCCGATTTTCGTGGCAGTCAGGTTGCCATACTCTCATACTATTTCTCCCCTAGTGTTTGAATATGAAGAATGCGAATTGGAACACTGGAAGTCTTGCTCATTTGAGGAAAAATACTAGTGAATGGCTGGATAATCTTCGATTCGATGGCAAGCTTCGTTTCCCGTTAGGAACTTTGCCATCGAGCCAAAGATTATCTAACCATCCCCTAGTGGCTTGTTGTTTCAGTGCCTTGTCATTTAAAGGTCTTAACTTTGTTGATGATACTCCTTTCGTAGTATGCTTTCCGTTGCTGCCTACTTAAAAACCTTGCCAGAAAAATCCAATTTGGACAAAAACTGGTCAAAGAAAAAAAGAGTGAAGCACATACGTTCAGTATAAGCAGGATCCATCAGCAGTAATACTTTTTGAGGTGAGTCACGTTCCAATTTCTTGGTAATTTGACTCCATATTGATTCTCTAGTTCGTATGATCCCCTTCTGGTCATAGCTGAAATTCGGTAGGGGCCTTCCCATTTCGGACCCAGCTTTCCCACGTTGAACTCTCGGGTGTTCTGAGTCACTTTCCTCAAAACCAAGTCTCCCGCTTTATAATAGCGGAGATTGGCCCTCCGGTTATAGTATCTTTCCATCCTTTATTTCTGAGCCACCATTCTTATATGCGCCAAGTCCCTGCGTTCGTCGAAAAACTCTAGTTTAACCAGCAATTCCTCATTATTTGCCTCTTCGTCCGTCCGAAAGTATCGCAAGGTCGGTTCTCCTACTTCCACCGGGATCAACGCTTCTGCGCCATATACGAGAGAGAAAGATGTCTCCCTCGTGCTCGACTTGGCAGTCGTCCGGTATGCCCATAGCACTTCTGGTAACTCTTCGGGCCATTTGCCCTTGGCTACTTAAAACCTCTTTATGTGGTTTTGAATAATCACTTTATTAGTTGATTTCACTAGCCCATTTGTGCTTGGATGGTATGGTGAAGATGTGATTCTTTTAATTTTCAGGCCTTCAAGAAATTTGTGACTTTGGAGCCTATGAACTGTGGTGTGTTGTCATAGGCAATCTCCTTCGGTATTCCGAACCGGCAAATTATGCTTTCCCATATGAAATCTACCACTTCACATTCATTGATCTTTTGGTAAGGGCGTGCTTCAACCCATTTAGTGAAGTAATCAGTTAAAATTAAAAAATAATCTTACCTTCCCGGGACCTGGTGGCAGCAGCCCGACTATGTCCATCCCCCATTTCATGAATGGCCATAGGGACAGTACCGAATGCAGGAGTTCTGCTGGTTGGTGCACTAATTGTGCATGGTGTTGACACTTGTCACACTTCTGAATGAATGGCTTTGCGTCTTGTTCCATCCGGGGCCAGTAGTATCCTGCCTTAACTAATTTTAGCATCAACGAATCTGTACCAGAATGATTCTCGCAAATTCCTTCATGAACCTCTCTCATGACGTAATCTGCCTCTGAGGCTCCTAAACATCAGGCCAACGGCTTTGCGTCTTGTTCCATCCGGGGCCAGTAGTATCCTACCTTAACTAATTTTAGCATCAACGAATCTGCACCAGAATGATTCTCGCAAATTCCTTCATGAACCTCTCTCATGACGTAATCTGCCTCTGAGGCTCCTAAACATCGGGCCAACGGCTTTGCGTCTTGTTCCATCCGGGGCCAGTAGTATCCTACCTTAACTAATTTTAGCATCAACGAATCTGCACCAGAATGATTCTCGCAAATTCNAGCTTGTCGTGCTTAAGGTAATCGATGAACTCATTCCCCCAGTCCCAGATCAAACTGGTTGTATTTACTTCACAATAACCGTCCACATCCAGTACCGAATGTATAAGTTGAACGACGGTACCGGAATCTGATCCCTTCATTTTTGTGGATGATCCCAAATTGGCCAATGCATCTGCTTTTATGTTTTCTTCTCTCGGGATATGGGTGATCAACCACTCCTTGAATCATGCGAGTAGAGTTTGAACTTTAATCACATACTATTGCATGTGCTCCACCTTTGTGTCGTAGATTCCATATACTTGATTTACTACTAGTTAGGAATCGCATTTGATTTCAATGACCTCGGAGCTTAGCCCCCCAGGCCAGTTCAAGATCAGCAATCAAAGCCTCATACTTTATTTCATTGTTAGTCAAGGGAACAGTTTTTATGGCCTGCCTCAGGGCCTCTCCCGAGGGCGCGACTAAGACCACCCCAAGCTCGGACCCTTTCATGTGGTAAGCTCTGTCCGTGAACAAGGTACAAACTCCTGATGTCCTTTCCGACACCATCACCGCCTCTTTCACAGCCAAAGACAGTAACCCAGGACTGAAATCGGCCACAAAGTCGGCCAAAACCTGTGACTTGATCGCAGCCCTAAGCTTATACTGAATATCAAATTCACTTATTTCACCTTCTTATTTGGCTAGTTGACCTGACAACTCAGGTTTGTTAAGTACATTCCACATGGGAAAAGTTGTCACCACGGCTATCCGTTATCGGGTGGCGCTGAAAATATGGCCTAATCTTTCGAGAGGAGACGACGAGATCTAAGGCTAGTTTTTCGAGGTGCTGATAACGCGTTTGCGCTCCCGATAAAAATTTGGTAACATAATAGACAGGAGATAGCGTACCTGCGTCCTCCCAGACTAGAACTACACTTATCGCTACTTAGAGACCAACAAGTATATCAACAATTGTTTGCCTTCCTCCAATTTTGATAGTAGCGAAGGGCTTGATAGATACCGTTTTAGGTCTTTTAAGGCATGTTGGCATTCTGGAGTCCATTCGAAGTTGTTCTCCCTTTTCAGAAGCTAGAAAAAGAGATGACATTTTTTCGAAGATCGAGAAATGAACCTGCTTAGAGCGGACAATCTTCTTGTTAGACATTGGACTTCCTTCATGCTTGTCAGATAGTCCGGGATGTCCTCGATGGCTTTGATCTTATCGGGATTTACTTTGATCCCTCTTTGTGACACCAGGAAACCCAAAAAGTTACTGGAGCTAACTCCAAACGCGTATTTTTGGGGGTTGAGCTTCATGTTGTGCTTCCTTAGGATATCGAAGGTTTCCTGGAGGTGTTTTAAGTGTTCACCTACATTCAAAGACTTTACCAGTATATCATCTATACTTTCATTATTTTACCTATTTGTTTTTCGAACATCTTGTTCACAAGTCTCTGATAAGTGGCTCCGGCATTTTTAAGCCTGAAGGGCAGCACATTATAACAATATATGCCAAAGTTTGTTATGAACGGAGTTTTTTCCTGATCCTCCGGATTCATCGTAATTTGATTATACTCGAAATCGGCATCAAGGAAACTCATTAACTCGTGCCCGGTCTTGGCGTCAATCATTTGATCGATGTTCGATAGTGGGAATGAGTCTTTCGGGCACGTCTTATTCAAGTCCTTATAATCTATGCACATTCGAAATTTATTATTCTTTTTCGGAACTACAGCTACATTAGCTAGCCAGTCGGGATACTTTACCTCCCGGATTGAACCGATGTCAATTAACTGAGTTACCTCTTCTTTAACAAAATAGTTTCTGACCTCGGCTATTAAGAGATTCTTTTGCCTTACATGTG